GAACAAGACTGAACTGCTTGCTAAACTCAGTCAAACTCACCTTTTCTGAGTTTAAATAAAATATAATGTGGTATACGGTACTAGAACAACTAGGTTCTAGTCCAGATTCTGCTGCTGGTCAAATGTGATTTTACGTGTCCCTTACTCTCTCAGCTTCAGTTTCGTCACTGTAAATGCTATCTAAAGTTCATCCTAGTACTATGATGGCATGATACTTTGTCAGTCTCAATTATATTTTATATTTGAATTTAGATCATGGTCTCCACTGCCTCCAAATTCTTCCAGAAATTACATTCAAAACAACCAAAACTAAAAATAGCTAGAGACATTAAGGAAAAGAAGCCTGTGGCAGGGATCTCACCCGTCAAACTCAACAGCTATGAACAGCACCAAATCCAGCCTCATGGGAATGCTTTAAGAATATTCTGGTCATCACACAATTTATAGTCTCATATGTAAAGTTCATGTGAATTCACTTATTAAACATTGTTATGTTATGTTATGTGCCGTCGAGTCGGCCCTGACTCATAGTGACCCCTCCTTGGGTTTCCGAGGCAGTATCACTATGGAAGTAGGATTGCCCAACCTTCCTTCCGAGGAGTGGCTGGTGGGTTTGAACCGCCAGCCGTCTGGTTAGCAGGCAAGTGTCTTAGCCACTATGCTACCAGAGCTCCCTAGACATTGTATACTACGTTTATTTATATCAAAGAAAGAGGCAGAGTCCCTGACCTTTTGAGTGGCTTGCATACTTATGTTACTTGAATATAGACCTAATTACGTCTTTAATTTTCCACTGCCTGAAAGATTCTTTGCTGTGAATCAAACCATGTAAATTTCTATAGCTAGGTCTTAACAGAAGTAAGGGCTAAAAAGGAAAATTTCAAAATTTCTGCTTTCTATCACATCAACTAATTCCAAGATTTATCTCCATTTATACCTCCCTTCTTCACGCAATAAAGAATCCAGTTTTGAAGCTTTTCTTATCTTTAGCACTTAAAAGAAATTTAAGCATTTTTTGTTAAAATTTAATTTTCATTTATGGATAAGGTGCATCTTGAAAATACACAGTGAGCAGAGAAGGAGGAACACAACAGCAGCTAAGATGTGGTGGAGAAAGAACAGGTAATAATACCAACATGTATTTATATACATTCTTATACAACTTCTAAACCAAACCAAATGCACTGCCATCGAGTCAGATCCAACTGATAGAGACCCCTCCTTGGGTTTTCAAGGCAGTATCACTATGGAAGGAGATTGCCCAACCTTCCTTCCGAGGAGTGGCTGGTGGGTTTGAACCACCAGCTTTCTGGTCAGCAGTCAAATGCCCTTAGGCACTACGTCACCAGAGCTCCTATAAAACTTCTAGGTCCTCAATTTTTAAATATATTTTTATTTTTAAAATTATTTTCAACTACCAAGAAACCTATTTTCTTGAGGTGGAAGACGTATTTTCAATTGTTGTTAAGGCTGGGTTTTACTGGGAGGAATGTCTAAAAAATAATTTGAAGCTTTGAAAACTCTTATTATAAGGTGTTAGTCTATTTAATTGTATTACTTTATCATATGGTATTTGTCCCACCAGTGTGAAGTGTGAATTCTAGGAACATGCATATGTTAAGAACAAGTCTACAAAGCAACTGGTAGAATTTATGTTTAATAGAAGTCAATTAAGACCTTCTACAAGCGGGTGACAACTTGCTAAGAAACAATGTGATAAAAATAGATCAGTTCCAGAAAAGCAAAACAGAAACTTAACTATCATTAACTTTGAATTAATAATGCGGCAAAACAGAAACAAGCTTCTGACTAATTTGACTAATACAATGGCACTGTTTCCTTATCCCCAAATCTAGCTCTATGGAAATAGTTAAGAAAACACTGTCAGTTGGAAAATCTATACCACATTCTGTTTTCCTCCCATGTCACTGGCCATACTCCTTAAGCTCCTCAATTTTATTTTCCTTATTCTCCTACTTCTAACTTCGGAATGCTCTCATGATTCAATCCTTGAGTCTTTTCTATCTATACTCCCTCACGAGGTGATTTCACAGTTTTAAATTTGTATCTACATTGCACATCTCTCCCCTGAGAGATCTCATGTACTTAACATCTTCAATTGAATGTCTCCTAGCCACCTCAAACTAGTATGTCCAAAACTGAACTTATTTTCTCCTGCCTGCTTCTCTATCAATTAGTCTTTCCTATTTCAGTAATAAGAGAATTTTTTAGAGTTGAAAAGCTGTAAAGTTGATTTTTGCAGGCTGAAAATCTTGAGTCATCTTTGATCCTTTCTTTGACTACAAATACCATATTCATATCATCAACAAATTATGTTGTCTCTAACTTTAAAATATATCCAGAATATATTCTCACCACTTCCACTAACAGTACCTTGGTCTAAACCACCAACTTCTCACATCTCTTACCTCAAATAGTGAACTAGCTTCCTATCTGGTCTCTTGCCTCCATTCTCGCAACTGATGTCATCTACACAACATAGTAGCCACAGTAATCCTTTTGTAAGGTACATCAGATCCTGTCATTACTTTGAGCAAAACCTTCCAGTGATGTTCTACCACTCAGAGTAAAAATCTAACAATTGTCTATGAGAGATGATACAATCTCTTTGACCTATCTACTAGTCTTACCCTCCCTCACTGCCAGCCACTCTAGTGTCATTGCTTTTACCTAAACAAACTTGGTACTCTTCCAACTCAGGATTTTTGCACTTGCTGACTGTTCCACACACAACCTGTATGGCTTGCTTCCTTACCTCTTTCAGGTCTCTGTTCAAAATGTCACCTTCTCTGTGAGGCCTTCCCTAACCATTCTATTATTACAACCTCACCATTCTACCTCCCTGCTGGCACTTCCCAATCCCATTTCTCTGTTTTATTTTTTCCTCATAGCATTTATTAACATCTGGCAGACAATATGTATTCATCATTTATTTATTAATGATAGCATAAGCTACATGATGGCAGGAATTTTTTACTTTTCTTCACAGCTTTCCCCAGTGCCTAAAACACAGTCTACACATGTTGTTAGGTGACACAGGTTCTAAAATTATTTGTTCAATGAATGAATGATACTGAAATATTACCAATACTGATGGTTGCCTCAACACACCCAGTATCATAAGGAGCAGAAATGCCAAACAATCATCTATACTCACATGTAGAATAGCAAAAAGAGATACAATAGTTTCTAAAAAATGCATTAAATTTTTTTTACTATTACTTTTGTTAAAACCATTTGCATTGTGTCTGAAGTATTCCAGGGCACACCCTTAATGCTGTTTTAAGCTTTACTAAGCACACAGACTTCAGATGGAGAAGAAAAAATATAGGCTTTTTCCTTTCATAGGCTACCACTTGACAGAAGGCGTCCAAGTGACCCTGGTGTCACCAATGTTCAGGATGTTTAGAGAGGAAGAGATCTTAGAAAAATGAGATACCAGTAATTTTTTCACCCATCCCAAAAGAGCAATCCCTCCAAATCTTCTACAGACATTTTTTCTAACTTTATATTCCTGGGCCATGTTAACAAAGTCATTGTGCATCACAGAAATAGTGAAATCTTAGTTGACAAAATAATTTATGATTACACAATTTAATATACAGAAAATCTGATATTCTATTATCCTTCTTTTCCAAAAAAATTTAACTAAAGCTAGACTAAGTTTTTATTGTTGAAAATGCTCTGCTGTGAAGCTGACTTAATAAAAAGATAAAGACGTGGGCTGATGGGTACTGTATCTTAAGACTGAACAGTTTTGTTTACTCTATTGTTTATTATTTAATACATTCTTCTCAGTCCCCTCAAAAGGAAAGAACAAAAATTCACATTGGTGCAATCAATAAGGAATGTTATGTCCACAGGAAGTTAATCTAAAAGGCTATGACTTAAGCGTTTAACACTGACACAGATAAAGTTCAGGCTGTAGATGTCACTTGTTTCACTCATTAAAAAAAAAAAAAAAAAAAAAAAGGCAAGACACCAAGATTCCGATCCCAAGGAGCCAAGGAGAAAGAAACAGACGTGAAAAATGAAATCAGTTGTTTCTCTCTGGCCTCCTCTCGACACTGCGCACTACCCGCCCCCCCCCCCGCCCCCTACTCCTTTAACGGCCCCTTCTCCCAGCGTTGGTTCCCAGCTCAACCCTGCACTGCGCCACCAAATGAGTCAAGAGAGGGGACCGGTGTCCCTCCAGGAAAATCAGGCAGAATCACAAGGTTCACCCAACTGAGGTGAACCCAACTCCTTAAACTCGGGAACAGTGTAGGCAGTATCAACAAAGCGTCATGCTGGGTCCTGAGCGTCCAAAGTCCCTGCTAGCTCCCGTGACAATGCCAAATCGACAGGATTCCAAAAGGTGACTTCGACCGTCATCAGTGAACCCGAGGCAGGAGGCGGTGCAGACCGGGAACAATCAAGGATGAAGTCCAACTAGCCTCCCGCCCAGGGCTCGCCCGCGGGGCCATCACCTTCCTCGGTCTCTAACACCCCTTCCCCCAGAAAGGCCGGAGCGCTGCGTCACGTGCCGGGGCTGAAACTTTGCGGCCGGGGCGGAAAAGGTGGGGGGTGGGATGAACGGGAAGACTGCGAGGCCGGAGAGTTAAAGCGCCCTATGAGTCACTTGCAGCCTCCGCGTGCAGCTGCAGGCGAAGGGGCCTGCGTGCCGCCCTTGCCCCTGCCCCCGCGCCCGTTATTTATAACCCCATGCTAGAGAGGCTAAAGCCCCCTACTAGCGCCCTCGGCTGCGGCCGCCCGCAGGCTCAGCAGCGCACCCTGCGCGCGGAATAAATAACAATGTCATTAAATCGCTGCCCGAGCGCCCATCCGGCTGGAGAGTGGACGGCGTGGGGAGCCGCCGGGAGCTGACTTTGGAGGCGGGCCCCCGCCTCCCGCGCGTCTCTGCAGCGTTCCCCGTGTCCCTACGGGGACCCCCGCGCCACCAGCTTCCCTGCCTCCACGGCGCCGCACCACGGCCTTACCCGCCAGCTCGTCGGGCTCCAGCCCGCTGTCCGCGTCGATCCCGCACAGCACGAAGTAGTGCGCGAAGCGGCAGGCGGCCGGGGAGGAGCCCGAGCCCGGCCCGGGCGCCGCGCTGCTCCCGCTCATCCCAACCCAGCTGTTCTTGCGGCAGCCGCCGCCGCCGCCCGAGAAGGCTAGCTGCCAAGGCTGCCGCCGCTCTGACTGGTGCCCCTGTGTGCCTGTCCTAGAGCGACACTGGCGCGCCCATGGCCGCGCGGCCGCCACTCACCACCGCAGCCTCGTTCCACGCTCGGCGCGGGGGAAGAGGCCACGGGCTTGCGCTCGGTTGGTCCCGGACCCAGTCCTGGGGTGGGGGAGGGGCGCGCAGGGGGAGTGTCGGCGCGAGAGCGCGGCGTGAGAGGTTCGCGCCGCCGCAGCTGTGCTCGCTAACTGGTAGCCTCGGCGTCTGGCGGCCGCCGGTCAGCTGAGCTGCTCTGGGGCTGAGAGAGCGCGGGCGCCAGGGACGGCTGCAGAATGGGGGTTGGGGGGAAAGCGCGCTCGCGAGGAGCGGGGGCGCGCACTCCGGTCGTGCGCGCGCGCCCAGAGGCTCAGAGGCTGGAGCGCCTGGCTTTGGAGAGATTCTCCCACACCAGCGCGGGCTGCGGCGCTGGGGGCGACCCTATTCATTACACGCCTCCTAGCCGCGGCCAACCTCTTAGAGGGATTCTGTCTTTTAAAGAGGATGCTCCTCTTCCTAATAAATAATAATAATACAGATTGGGGAAGGATAGCAGAGGCTCTAAGACCATTTACCACAACGGTCTGGACCACCAACATCTTTAAATTATGGCACGTGCAGAAGTGTGTTTTATTTTAAGATTCTAGGCCTGTATCCTTACCCTCTGGCCATCCTTCCCCTGACCGTTCATAAACCATCCTTCCTCAATGACTTGGTAGCAACTCATCGCTGAGAGGGGGAAACGCTCAATAGCCACAAAGTGTTGAGACTTCTAAAAGGAGTGAAATCGCCAACTCCCCCAGGACCCCCACCATTCCGTAATTTATCCTGACATTTTCCAGGTCAGTGTAAAGTAGCTAGGGCAATCCAGTTCCCTGACTCTGTACTCCTTTGATAATTATCAGCTGTATCTGCAGGTACATTCGAAGCTGATAAGGCCGCAGGAATTAGACCCTGAACTGTGCTCCTCGCAAGGGCAAGGTTTGGTTATGCTTCCCTTTCCTCAGATTTTCCGTTCTTCAGAGGAGCTCACCAACCAGTTCTTATTTTTTTGAAAGGTGAAAACTGAATCCATTCCATATCCGTGTGGCCATGCCTTCCACACCACTCCCTACTCTCTTCTTTCTGGACTGAGGTTTAAGGATGCGGGTAGGGAGGATCATGAACACCATTGATCATGAACACCATTGGCAGACACGTAAGCAAACCTCCCAGGGAGGTCAACTAAGAGTGCCTCATTATTTGACTTAATAATCATCTTCTTGGCAGGTATCTATGCACGCACACCATCATTTACTGTAGCTTGTATCCTCATTTCCTTCTCTCTCTCTCTCTCTCTCTCTCTCTTTAATTTGAAATGTAAGAAGAATCAAGAAATCAGGGTGAACCACGCCTGGGTAATTAACCTTTACCTCCAATTGCACCCTGTACTTTTTCTTCAAAACACTTGTAATGATTTTTTGTGTCTGTTTTCTTAGATGAATTGTAAGTTCCCCTAGAGCAAGAGTCATGCTTGTTCATCTTATTTCCAGTATCTAGCAGAACCCTGGTACTACTTAGCTGCACAATTTGTTTATTGAATCAATGTAGGCTAGTTATATAGGTAGTAACAGGTTGTTGGGCTAGTAGAACACACACAAACTTTAGTATCTGTAACATTTATCAACATTTGCTAATTTACTATTATACAATTATTGCTTTTTCCTCATATAAAAAGTACTGACACGAACAAAACAATTTCACTCCTGAGGAAGGGGAAGGAGTGGTGGAGTGTGTATATATTTCTCCTATCTATCTTTGACAGTGGCTCCTTGCACTTTCCTAGATTTAGACTAATCAAAGTATGATTGAAAACTAATTGACTATTTGTACTAGCCAAGAAACATATCATTTTTGTTAGTTTGAGCAGTCACTGACTCATGAGATTTTTAAGCTCAGTGTTAACATTCTTAAAATGAAAAAATTAAAAAAGAAACCCAAACAATGCATTGATTAAAATATGTAAATCTCATTAAAATAAAATTCCCAAAGCTTTCAAAGGAATAGTCACGTATCATAAGATAAAGCACTAATTTGAAAATACCTGGGTACTTTCTAATTATTACTCAGAATGACACTGTATAGGTCTAGCCTGCATTATACAATGAAAGTTGTAAAGATAATCAAGAATTGACTATGTAACACAGTATTCTGTTTTCCCCTGAAATAATGACATGTTGTTAAGTGCTACCTAAGTACAACAGAACGAAATCCTGCATGGTCCTGTGCCATCCTCACAGTCCTTGCCATGCTTGAACCCAGTGTTGCAGCCACTGTGTCCATCTATCTCAGTGAAGGTCTTCCCCTTTTTCACTGACTCTTCACTATACCAAGCATGATACCCTTCTCCAAGGATTGCTGCCTTCTGACAATATGACCAAAGTGAGATGAAGTCTGGCCATTGTTGATTCCAAGGAGCATTCCAGCTACACTTCTTCCAGAACAGACCAGTTCATTCTTCTGGCATCCATGGTATTTTCAGTGTTCTTCACCAATTCCCCAATTAAATGCATCTATTCTTCTGCAATCTTCCTTATTCACTGCCCAGCTTTAACATGCATAAAAGGCAATTGAAAATACCATGACTTGAATTAGGCGCACCCTAGCCTTCACAGGAACATCTTTGCTCTCTAACACTTTAAAGAGGTCCCTTGCAGCAGATTTGCCCAGTTTAGTACTTCATCTGATTTTTTGCCTGCTGCTTCCAATGCTATTGATTGTGGACCTAAGTAAAGCAAAATCTTTGACAGCTTCAATTGTTTCTCCATTTATCATGATGTTGCTTATTGGTCTATTTGTGAGGATTTTTGTTTTCTTTACGTTGTAGTGTAATCCATACAAAAGGCTGTAGTCTTTAATCTTTATCAGTAAGTGCTTCAAGTCTTCTTCACTTTCACCAAGCAAGGTTGTGTCATCTTCATATTGTAGGCTGTTAACAATTCTTCCTCCAATCCTGATGCCACATTCTTCATGTAGCATACAGATTGAATAAGTATGGTGAAAGAATACAAAACTGACACACACCATTCTTGTTTTTAAACCATGCAGTATCCTCTTGTTCTGGTCGAATGACTACCTCTTGGTATATGTACAGGTCCCTCATGAGCACAATTAAGTGGTCAGGAATTCCCATTTTTCACAATATTATCCATAATTTGTTATGATCCACACAACTGAATGCTTTGGCATAGTCAATAAAATACATGTAAACATCTGTCAGCCCCAGGGACAACTCAGGGACGCCCAAAGCAGCAGACCAGAAGAGTAGGAGAAAGGGGATTAAAAGCCAGGAAGCCAGACACAGGAACAGTCAACCACAGGGACCCAGGTGGGGGTGATACGAGAGGTCTCCAACAACAAGACAAACTTGTCTGTCGGTTTGTCCTACTGTGGTGACATGTAGA